TGATATGCATTCTATCAGGATGATTTATGCAAATTATGCACATTATTCCCGCAGGAATCTCTCTTCTGAAAGTGCCAGGATAAATTGCCGGAAATTAGCCATAAAATTCACTGTGCAGGGAGTGTGAGGTGAAGGCCGCCAAGGAGCCAAGGACATTGGGCCGCCATGGTTACGCTTGGCCTGGCCTGCCTCCCCCATGCTTGGCATTCATGGCTGTTAAAGACCTCTGCTCAGACAGATATACTGAAGCCTGGAGTGGCACTCAGCACATCAGGAAGATCAGCCAAGCAAGTGTTACACTAACGGCGGGGTTTCATGCTCTAGTAACGTGACAGATTTTTCAAAGGGAGGGAACGAGATTGTTGGTTTATTCTTCCCACGTTTTAGGCCGAAAACCACTTTGTAAATTCTTCTGTGTTCCTAGAAAGTGGCAGCGCGTTATCATTGAGTAGCTGGCCTCAGATCCAGTCACCGTTTGAACGGTTTTATGACTGAATTTATGCCTTTGTTTGCTATATAGCTGACCTTGCTCATAGTGCATCCTAATCTTCAGATTACACTCTAATCAGAAACCTGTTCAGCAATCAGGTGATGAATTGTTGTAGGAACAGCACATAAATAGGTGGTTGTCATTATCACAACACAGAATTGAGGTTGTATCAGGCAATGTCTTCTTTATAGCGCTACACGCCTCCCTATTGGTCAGGCCTTTCATTTGTCTCGTGATCGGTGTGTGTATGGGAGGGAAACAAAGAAAAAGTGTGTGTGTACATTAAATGAGAAGCGAGTGACTCTCGGTGTTATTGTGTCTTCCTCGTGTCTTTATTTCAGTGTGAAAGCCAGAGTTAATGAATATGAGAAAACGGAGATGAAATCCACCTCGCCTTGGCTTTAATGAACCCTGAGAGGGTCACGATCTGCATATTGAGCAGGACGAGCAGGATCTGTCTCTCTCACAGGTGAAGTACACAAAAACCATTGCAGTTTCACGTTTTAGTTTAAATCCTTCACTCTTTTTAAGGTTTGCATCGACCTGGCTGAGTGCAGCCGAGCGTGGTGCTGTTAACATAATCCAGAGCGGCCGCTCGGGTCACTGTGAGTTCTCCATCCGCTCTAATCAAGCACATTATCTCGATGTTAAGGTCACATAAATGGAAAGTTCACAGCTGTCGGGGAAGCTTTGACCACTGCGCCACCGGAAGTTAGTTTTTGACGTTAAAACGATCGCGTAATCTGTAAATTCAATGAAAAATAAATTGTTTCTTTTATCAAGACGTGTGGATAACAAGTAATTTCTTAATAAAATCAACACTCGCATGGAAAGCACACCAAAGCTCAAAGTATATTTCAGGCAACGGCCCCATAAAACGGCATCAAATCGAGTGAATTGCCTCCCAACGGCGTTCATAATTTGATTTATTTGGCACAAATATTTGAACAATGAATGCACTTCACTTCATCGCCTGTTCTTGTTTGTTCAAGCCACAGAGTAAATTGTTTTTTGTCTTTTTTTTTTCTCTTCTGGAATAAACAACCTGTACAGCAACAAAGAGCCAGTGCTGTCCACAACAACAACATGGCCACCACCAAATTACTGTGCTCAGCCATGACACAGTTTAATCCCAGCGGAATAAAAGAACATCAGATTACGGCAGAAAGACAGAGCCATCGGTAAACAGGGATTAGGAGATTGGGGCTTTAATCTGATTAATATGGAGGCAGTTGGAATATTAGAGATGTTACTCAACTGTTGTATTCCAGATGAGGGGATAATCACACTTTGCTACGTCATTTATTGTGCCCTGTTAGAACTTTCAGAGCTAAACGAGCTGCCATATGTTTACCTGACCTCGAGGCTGCCTCCGAGATAAAAAAACATTTGCGATGTAATGAATTAGGAGCTCGTTAGGTGAGTGGGAAAACAGTTAGAAATATGCAGGAAATTCTGAATGTTATTGCAGCGAAAGTGGTCTAAGTCGGCGTCAGTATTCTTTATATTTACAGATATAAAGCAGCTCAGAGTTACAACAAAGCATCTCTAAATAAAAACCTTTATTACAGTTAAACAGCTCCTTCAAGCATCAATGTTTAAGTATTATAATAGGGATCGTTTCTGTTTTGAAAGGAAAGGCTTAGTTATAGCATTAATCTGTAAGATCCACACCTGGTCTTGTTCAGGGCAACCTTAAATCAAATGTGGTGTTTATCTTCCTGCACACAAAGAATGAGTAGATGGATTTGGACTTTTTTTAGCTCCTTAAAACAACCCTATTTGTGTTTTAAAGGTGGTAAGCATGTATTTAATTGTTGTAAAGATTTGGAAATATTCAGCAAGTTTGGACGGTTTAGCCTAAAAACTGCATTCAGTATTCCTTGTCTAATAAGCAAAGTTTCTAATAAAAGTGCTATTGGAAAGATTTGTAGCTGAAGTTCAGAAAAAGCTCAAGTAAATTTCTCGAATGTGATAATGGGCTCATCTACGAAGACTAGCTTCATATATCGGCCCTACAGTGCATCTGATAATGACGGTTTCACTGTTAAGAAGTTCAAATTTGTACTACTCAATGTAAGCAGTTTACCTCTTTAGCTCCACAGTTCTATTAGCTGGCATTGCGTGCACCAACAACATTATGCATTGCTATCAGTGGCCTGACAAAAATGAAGTACCGCCCAGCAGTTGATTTGGTGCCTCAACCAGTGCAGCACATATATCTTTATACACAGCGTGTGACACAGCATGGATGAATCCATTGTCAGAGTTTTGCCAGCTACTGATATGAAGGAGACATTTCAATTTGGCGTACTTATGTATATTTTTAATGTTTATCATCTTTAGCATACACAGCAGCTGCGTTATGAGCGAGCGCCCTGCTGCCCACTGATATGGCAAATTGAACATTTTATAGTTTATGAAAGGGGTGGGTTTTTTTGTTATCTTCCAGTTTTATTCGTCAGTCCCGATTCCCACTGTAAATGCTTTAAAGACAGATGCAGCTTTATTAGGCTTTTGGATAAAAGCGATGCTCCCTATTATGACTTGGTTGGTGGCCACTTTAAAAAAAAAAATGGATAAAAAAAGAGGAAGCTTGAAATCCTCCAATTTTTTTCTGTTTTCATGAGGCATCTTGGGGCTCTATCGCTGCCCGGCCCAGCTTAACATTTCAGGCACCCTTGTGTGTACATGACATTTCACCTACTTGTAAAAATGGCTGAAATACCAAGTATCTAGCAGCTCCCTTATCAAGAGGATCACGGAGACTTTCGATTATTCAGTTTCTTACTTTTTCTTAAACAAACCTGCTCCTCATGTTTGCTCTAAAATTGTCCTCTGCCTTTACATTGATATTTTATGCTGTTGTCTGTTTTCCTTTGGATGTTGTGTTCTGTTTTATGCACCCATATGGCTCTGTCTCATCCCTGGGGAATCTCCTCTTATGGGCTAATGTGAATATTAGTATGGGTTAAATGCTCCACTCATTTATGCATTAATGCATATTGCATAATTAATATTTTTGTGAAGTCTCATTTTCAAACAGCAGCAGGGGGAGAAAAAAAAGCCTCGTCTCTGTGTTCAAACTACAGTAAATAAATAAATAAAAGCTTAAATCCTGTAACGTGAGTTGCTGACAGGATTTTCACTCCAGAGCTGTTTTGATGTCTCCTGATTATTTCCAGTCTTGATTAAGGGCTCTTCTGTGAAGATTCAAGGCATTCGGGGGTGTGATGGGATTAAATGGGACACTGTAATGACCCTGTTGTCAGAATGGCTCATCATACAGACACAAAGCTTAGATCGGAGACTAGTAAAAAATAAAAAATAAAAATCAGAAACCAGCATTGTTAACACATTTTCATATTTGTTTGCTTCTATGTGGAAAAATGAGATAAAGATGGAGGCTTTTGGTTAAAATTATTAGGATAAAACATTGAGCATGTTACATTTAAAGAGAGGTTTTTGGTGTATGGCTCTGCAAGCTTGAAGCTTGTTTGACGATTTCAAATGAAAGCTGTGCCTAAAATATCACAGTATCCATCTACAACAGAAACATTTATTGGCAAGACGTTTGCTGTATTGAATTTAGTTGATTGTATTAAAAAGTTCGGGGAAATCTGTGGTGCGAAATGATCGGTGCTAATTCATGGTCTGAAATGTGAAGTCTGTGGCCTCTGTCCATGGTGCTGAAGCTTTCACGATATTTACCCTGACTTTTAGGGGGGGAGATCGTGGAGATTTAATGCTAGATTGGCTTTACTGTTTCAAAAGCATTTCCTTATCAAATTGTTTTCGATGTGGACAGTGAAGTGAAGGGGACGAAGCTTGAGTCGATCGCGGAGCAGCTGATAGTTGCGTTCTAAGTAAAGACACCAAATTGCGGCAATGAAACAGTCCTAATTACATTTCTTAATCACAGTGTGGAGGTCTAATTGCCTTAACGATCTGTTTGATTATGCGAGGCCAGGTATTACTGCCGACAGTTTTCATACACACTTGTTTTCGCATTATCATATTATTACACACAGGCGTGGAAATTGTCTCAACATCCACAGTAAAGGTTATCAGAGTGTGTGGGGGTTTTTTTGTTTGTTTTTGGGGTTTGTTGTCTTTCTTTCTTTTCTCCTTTTTTTCTTTTAGTCCGTGGAGCACAAACATCTTAATGTTGCCCTGAAGCTACGTTCGCCCACCCACGTCTGGCCTTCGTTCCCAAGACTTAAGACAAGAAAAGTTACCGGTTTTGATGGAGCAGAAAATTGTTAAGCATTATTTCCCCTCTCTGCTTGACACCTGGTGGGAATGCAGAGACTGACAAATGAGAGCTGCATCGCTCCTAGAACAGAGAGGCTCTAAAGTTATCCTTTAAAAAAAAAAATTACCCCCCCCCCCAAAAAAAAATAAAAATAAAATAAAAATCAACAAGAACAATTAACAGTTAAAGGTTAATTGGTTAACAGCTCGCTCTGATTCCACGTGCGCTACACTTCACATGAATAATCAGATTTTCTTTTTCTGTTGTTCAAAATATTTTAATAAAGCTTTTCAACACTGAAATACATACAAACGGCCCTCCTCTGCTCTTATAATAACTAAGGTATCTACAATAATCCACAGCCCGACCTGACAACGCGAATAATCTGAAGACCTCAATCGTCATGTTTCAAAAGAAAACAAAAATACAAGAAAAAGAGAGACGACAATGTGCAATGCAAGCAAAAAATATCCATCATAGATATTCAAATGAATAAATTACAAAAGCACATCGAAACACGTGATAAGCTTCAATTCAGGATTTTAACAAAAAGAAATCTGGATGTTTATTATATGACAGTGCCCCCTCACCCCCCAAAAAGAATTGCAATAGGCGTGCGCAACGATTAACAAGTGTCTAAAATTAGCACATAAACATCTGACTGATTCAACCTCTTAACTCGCTGTTTCGTTTGACTTTCCTTGCTCATAGCATTCCACTTGCTCAGCAGAAAAACTTCGTGAAAGCAGGCCTTAAACCAAAAAAAAAAGAGGAAAAGTCTCAGACTTGAATGAAAAGAAAACCGTGAATAAATGAGAAAGCAGCAGAGAGTGAGTGTGGACTACCGCTTCGACAAGATGTCCATCTACTCAAGTGGAAAGAATCGCAAGTTGTCAGGTCACCCAAATTTCCAAAAGTGTCCATCACAGAGCAAGTGATCAACAACTCACTCAAATCAACACTTGCAGCCATTCTCACAGGCCCTACTGTACGTCTGTTTGGTCTTCACTGTCATTCATACCAGCACTTTAAGGATGATTTATATTCACAATCAAGTAATGTTTGAACAAAAAAAAAGCGCGTTTTAATGCATTTAGTAAATATCATAAAAGTATTCGTCGCCATTACTTTTTCTTTTTTTTTCCTTTTTTGTCTCTAGCCTACTGACTTCACTGGTTTTCCTCTCCAAAAGTGTCCTTAAAAGTGGGTTCTTCTTTCTCGTGTGCTTCTCGGAGTCTTTGTCAGGCGCGTTAAGGCTTGTCAGTGCACTGTTTGCAGAGGCTGGAAGTGGCATTGTTGAACAGGGCACATTTATCGGGGCAGGAGGACCCGGCCACTCCGGTGGGGAAGGGGTATCCACCCGGTTGGTCATACGCGCCCAAGCCGGGAGCTGCGAGGGCAGTGGTGGCCGGTATGGAAGCGGCAGAAATGGCTTGGCCCTGGTTGAGATACATCACTAGCCTCCTCATCTCTTCCAGCGCCTGTGACTGCATGAGGATGTAGTTTTTGGCGAGCAGCAAAGTGGCAATTTTGGAGAGTTTCCGCACTGACGGGCTGTGCGCGTAGGGGATGACCGCTCTGAGCTCATCCAGCGCGTCGTTCAGATCGTGCATCCGTCGTCTTTCTCTGGCATTGATGTTTAGCCTCAGTATTTTCTGCTCTTTGGTTTTCTTACCTCCTTCAGCTTTCCCTGCGCTCACCGTCCGCCCATCGCTGAGGAGGACCATGTCACACCTGCCGTCGCTGTCATCGTCGGGACTCTGCTCACCTCCGCTGCTCTCCGCTGCCGAGGTCCTGTTGGCGCTCTCTCCGTACTTTACGCACAAAGATCCCGTCGGCAGACCCAGCGTCCCCCCTCTGCCTCCTGCCAGTCCTCCCGGTTGAATCGGGTCTGGCTCGGCCTGGTCAAAGCAGCTGATTGGTGACTGGCGGTCTCTGGCTGGTAGTTCGATGCCGGCCGACGATCTGAAAGGGTCCATTTTTTTAGTGGACACGGCGCTCAGAGTTTTGTGAAAAATGTCCCCTCCGCTTACGTTCAAGTTCATCCTCCTGTCCATAGCCTCGTGGATTCCGCGTCGTTGCAGGCTATGGTCTCTTCGGGAAACTCTTGACGCACGTCTCAGAGTTTCTTCCTCTGTTTGTCCTTCACGAGTTTAGTTGTGTGTCAGTGGTGAAGTTGCAGGCTCGCTCCACTTGTCAGCTGAGGTGTAGAGACGAGGAGGAGCCTCACGTAATAAGAGCCACTCTCTCCTGACTCTCTCCCTTTCTGTGTCTGATTCACCTTCACCGGATCTCCACGATAACCCTGGTTACGCACAAGACGCTTCGGTCCTTTTTACATCATTATCTCGAGGCGGGTTATTAAAAAGGATTCGCCTATTGGGATACAGACACCCTCTCCCCCTGGCACTCACCACCCAATCACGTTAACGTTTTAATTATTGGTATTTAAAGGATGGCAAACAAAGCAGCATGCGCTCTGTCTCTCTTCTGTAATACGCTTTGGGTTCAAGATCTTTGCAAAGATCCCCCCCGATCATAAAATAGCCCGCTTCACTGATTTGGTTACGAGACATCAGTTTGTATCCTTTTCAAGAGTCGCAAATTAACCAACGTCTATAATCTTAAAGCTGTTTTAGCTCAGAGAGGAGATAATTTCGCTGATCTCTTACTGCTTTATTCAAATGAAAAGATATTGGCATAATGTTGTAATTCATTAATTTTTGTTGCTTTTTCGATTGTTCGCCCACTTAAGTTTAATTTTATCACAATAAGTACAATTCTGGAGTACAATTGTACTCCAGAACAACACGAACCTTTTCATTTCACCGTTGTAGCGTTTATCTCACGTTGTGTCAGATTTCCCATGATAGATCTGCGGGCTTGCCAAGCTTTACCTGTGCTCATACTGCCATCTTGTGGATGGTATAGTGCAGTACAACCATACTGGAAAGTCAAACGTCATAGGTTTTATTCAGATAGAGCCCACGACCTCCTTTAGCATTTAAATCACGTGATTTCTTGCTTTAAAAAATCCTGATTTTTAACATTTGAATCTGTATTTCAAGACTTCAGATTGTAGTGCAGGGTTAAGGTTTTATAGTGGTGAAATAATGAGATAAAGAACGTTCCTTTTAAGCACCGAAGCAACCAAAATAAATTATGGGCTTGATTATAAACACTCAAAAGAAACAAGGAGATGCACACTGTTAAAGAAACATACTAGATATAAACTTTTAAACTTTTAAAAAGGTGCATCAATGCTTGTTTTTTTCCAAGTGAAGATTAATTGTTTACCATTTAGAAACAATTTATACTAAGATGTCTGTAATCTGTTAATAGTTGCTAGGCAACATTACTTCTGATTGGGCCTGAGACTTATGTTTAGAGAGAATAACGGATCCTGTGAACCTTTGTCAACATGTTTGGAAGATATTAACTGACTCTGAGGAAGGGTCTAATCAAAGTCACTGCTTTGCATGACTTCCAGCCCATTGAAAATTTGATTTTAAATTGCACTTTGGTGAGTAATGTGGTTTAAAAGAGGTAACTGCAGGGTTATGGTGGGCTGGAGCTCAGCGTAGAGCTCCATAGTTTATATCTGAGCTAGGTTTCATTGCAGAGGGCACAGGCCTAAACTCCACAGGTGAAACTTAAGTTCATTGTAGCTCAGAGAAGCTCACAATGCAGCATGCAGCCTTCTCACAGACATTTCAGCTGCTAACAGTAATTTCTGCAATTACTCTCCACAAGAACTCATTCGTAGGCGCTCGTTTCAACGCCTTAAAGGACACACTCTTCCCCCTTCTTCTATCCAAGTAACCATGGTTATTTACCATGGCATGTCTGCTGCACACATTAAAGGTACCTTTAGCAGTGATTAGAGCTGACCACTGCTTTCAAACTGCAGTGAATGTGCCTTAATTCTTTTCGCCCTCTGGTTTGGTTTCTTGGCAGCTAAATATCAGTGGAAAAGTCTGTTCAGTGAGTCACCCACTGAAGATATTCCAGAAAGTCGTCTTGTTTTGAAATCATGTTTTTCCATTTGTGACATGGAGAGAAATGGAGTCAGAGAGTAGAAACATTTGAGATATTTTAATGTAAATAGTTGCGATGCCATTCTTCCCTGTTTTATTTCTTAGCTAGTCTGTAAAATCCATTTGCAGTCATGACTTCAAAAACAGTCTGAAAAGCATCTTAGCAAGTTCTGAGTTAACAGATACTGTGTTGACAGTATCTGGTCAGATGTAAAATGATTCATTACAAAGTATTATTGATAAATTTACTGGGATTTGTAGCTAGATCCTCAGAGTTAGAAACATTTATAGTAAAAGAATGAAATATCAGTCTCCATGTTTAAAGTAGACTCTAATTTTAATGTTAAGATGTGTTTTGTTCTCTAAAAATGACATCGTTTGGCCTTTGTTATGTTCATACCTTTCATATAAGTACTACTAAATCTCTCTTTAGTTACTGTAAAGAATTATACAAACTGGTAATTAAAGTCAGAATCCCCTCTTTGCAACAGCATCACAAGCGCTGAAATTGTTCCACACGTTCAAGGTCAACGTTTTAGCTCTTTCCTAACATATTTTAATTTGCTTATGTCTCTCTTGGGGGGGTGAATAGTTGGGGAGTTATGATCTAAGAAGTGGCAAAGACAGTCACTTTATTCTGAGATGGCAAGAGAACACCTTCATGGCCAATCAGGTCCGGCTAATGAGATAAGATGGGTGAGGACGGTGGCACAGCCATTACAGTCACAGTACGTCAGCACTTTGGTAATGAGGAGACCATGAAGGCAAAACTGTCGAAGAAAAGGATTTCTGCTGGGACAAAAGAGAAGTTTAGATGCTGAAAAGTAAAAACAAAAACACATAGACGGATTAAACTGACTCATTTTTCAAGCAGAGTTGTTAAGGAGAAGGGGGAGCCTTTCCAATGTAGTAATTATCATTTTTGCCTTATATTATTGTAAAATATCTTTGAGACTTGGACTGTTTCTCAGACAAAACTGTGCATTTGGAGCTTGTTGTAGGACTGCAACACTTGGAACTATTCCAGACATAAATCCACGTTTTATAATCCAGGTCAGACACATTATTTATAGAAGTATATCTAGTTTTTTATGTTCTGCCATTGACACACTTTGACTCCATTAAATATAATTTGATTTGTTGCTTTTAAAAACAGACAGACAAACAAATACATTAAAAAAATGCTCATAAATGATTTTTTTTTTTTTTTGCTTTTATCTCCTGAAATCACGTTTTTCTAAATGCAGTTTACCAACACTCATAATATCATCTGTTTTCTCCTCTGTCCTCATTTAAAAATGTGTATTGGTGACTCTTCATGGAAGCTTCACTGCAGAGTGATGCATGTTTCAGAATTTAACACATGCAGCTTGCTTTGGAGCAAGGTTATTATAGTTGACTAAAAATAAAGGTTAATATAGTTAACTAAATATAAACTGAAAACTAAAACTACATGTGTGAAGGAACATTTTAGTTAACTAAACGGTTGCCGTACAGCAAGAAGGTTCTGGTTTGTCTCCACCTTCCACCTTCATGTGTGGAGTTTGCATGTTCTCCCTGTGATTGTGTGAGTTCTCTTTGAGTATTTCCCACAGTCCAGTGTGAGTGTGAATGGTTATTTGTCTCTCTGTGTTGCTGCAACATTTCCAGGTTTTACTTTTGTCCTATGGTAACTGGGATGGGATCCCCCACCCACCTGCCCAGCCCACAACCCTGAATTGGATAAGCAAAAGAGAATGGATGGATAGAAAAAAACACGGAGGAAAAATCCTTAGGTTTTTGTTTGTTTGTTTGTTTTGTTTTAGAACAAAACTTGTTTGATGAGGCATTGATCGACATGTTTATTTTTATTTTTTCACTCTTTTTTTAAAAAATTTTTTAATCTGTGGAGTTGGAAGAGCTCGTAGTGCCATTTTCAAGCTTTCCAACCACGCTGAGCTTTTTATGGAAATAATAAAAAAAACCCCAAAAAAAAACAAACCCCGATATCACCCCAAAAAAATATCACTCAAAAGAGAGCCTGTTTATAAACATGCCTTCAGGGGATCTTTAAGAATTTGCTCTTTACTAAATCTTGTATGTGCTGTTTAACAGCATTTATCAATTTCCGCCACAAGAGGGCAGCAGAGTTCTTCTGACGTCCTGAGCAGCCCGTGCAGGAGGAGCTGAAGGCAAAGCAGGAGCATGATGAACATGCTTTATGGCAGCCTCATGGATTTCATTCAACTTTGAAGATTTTGGTTATCAGTAGAAACCAGACTCCAGGGCTGCTGAGTTCAGATATGAAATTTCAATTTTGTAATGTGGTTCCCTGCACTGAGACCCACCAGTGTACCAAATACATGACACGGCAGGCAGACTGCTCTTTTTTAATTCATGAGGCGACCGAGTTGTAGTTTCATTTGTAATGATATTAACCACCCGAGCAGGTGGATGTTAGAGCGGACTTCTTAAACTGTCAGTCCCCCTCCTTAACCACTCAGCTGATTTTAAACACTACGGCAACCGATCATGCGCACTGTGGAATCCGTTGACTGTACTTAGAGATTCAGTTTATGCTTACGCTGATCCAGATATGTTTCTCTGGAAGACTTAAAGGAAATAAACTGATGATTTGGTGAAATGACTTTTATGTGCTCCCCTGCCCACTTTAGCCAGGCCCCGCTTATCCTTCTATCTACATGAAGCGCACAGACTCATGTCATTAATTAAGATCTGATTATTTTCTGTCGGTGTGTGCAACATGGAGCCAATCATCTGAAGGAAAAACAGAAATGCGTCCAGATAAATAAATAAATACTCCAACATGAGTCGTACTAAATGAAGCCCCACTGATCTTTAACTGTCCGGAAGAGAGAGTCTCCATTACGGTTTGATATTGCGTGCGGACGCCACCAGGCGACACACTAAGATCGAAGGATGTTATTTCATCCAGCGGAAATGCCACAAGACTCTCACAGTTAGTGGTCTGCATTCATCTGCTTGAGCCAATGATTTTGGTGAAGCACATTTTAAAAACCTGATATTCGTTTAAAGTCCATGCGAGTGTTTAAGCCACACGCTCCACGGTCGTCCTCCTCATTTACATTCCGCAAAGGCACCACGCGTACTTATGGAAATTAATATGCAGATCCAATAAATCATGGTTTATTATCCTTGTCACGCGAGGCTCTATATGGTTTTTGTGGAGGGAGGGGGTTAGAACCTCTTTACTGTGATAATTGTCATTTGTACAAAAATTTTTTTTCCTCTAAGCAAGTTTTAGGGGGGAAATGGGTCGCTGATAAATTCGTGCGACGATGATTAGAAGTAAAA